CCAAGATGAGCCAAGATTGCCTCAAGATGTGGCAACATAGGTCCCACACAGTCTCAAAAAAAAAAGAGAGAGAGAGAGAGACAGCGAAGATGACTCTCCCTAGCTCTCAGATATGGGAAACATAGCCCCAAGACGGGCCACATAGGCCCCACACAGTCTCAAAAAGAGAGAGAGAGAGAGAGAAAGAGACAAAGAGAGAGAGAGAGAGACAGAGACAGCGAAGACAGATACAGAGAAGACCGAGACAGAGACAGAGAGACAGAGAAGACAGAGACAGAGACAGACAGAGACAGAGATAGAGACAGACAGAGACCGACAGAGACCGACAGAGACCGAGACAGAGACAGAGACAGAGACAGACAGAGAGAGGGGAGGGAGAGAGGAGAGAGAGAGAGAGAGAGAAAGATGGCAGGAAATGTGCAAGACGGCTCTCCCGACTTCGGCGTATACTCGGTATACGCCCGGGCGGTCAGCCTCCTTCGCGAGAAGGATGCTACCGGGACGCCCGAAGTCCCGGTCCCCGTCTTGCACAGGGAGGGGTTGTTCGGTCCCCCACCGACGGAAGATGTAGACGATGTGCACCTGGCGAGAACGAACTCGCAGACACTGCTGTCTGCACGCACCGCGCATCCGGCGAGAACGAACTCACAGACACACCGCGCGTCCAGCGCTCGCTGACCGGTCCTTTTTGACTGCTACGGCCTGGTTGTTGTCATGAAGTTGGCCGCGTGAGCGATGCTCTGGCGGAGGCTAGAGCGAAGGCGCAAACGCGCCAAGGATTGTGCGACTGGACGCGCACAGCGTCTAGGCTCTCGACGGTGGTGCGATGGAGGGGGTTGGTGATTAGACGGTTGTTGCCACCGCTTGTTAAGGCATGAGAGACTTGAAATGACATACCCACATACCCACGTCGAAATCGTGAGAGGGCATCGAGAAGGATGTGCTGGATGTGGCACAGTATTTGCAATGCGACTGTGACAGAGTCATGTGCTGGCAGATGGTTCAATCGAACCTTTGGCTCCACAAGCCCACGAAAACGAAGCCATGGCTGAGGCCGTTCGGGAGCAAACGATCGAAACCCTGCTCTGCACTTGGTTTTTGACAATGGAATATCTATTAAGTGGGCGGAGTATGGTATTTGCCGGGCATGAGCGATGCTCTTGCGGAGTACGCACCAAGGATTTGCGCGGTTGGAAGCACGCCGCGTTCGACTTGCCTACGGAGTGTCTAGAATGGAACTTTTATTAAGTGGGCGGACTATGGTTTTTGTCGGGCGTGAGCGATGCTCTTGCGGACTTGGCTGCAGCGGCTGCGCGATGCGCTGGCTCTCGGGTAGGGGGGTGAGATGGAGCTGCCCAGGGTGGTTCTGTGCATTAGGCTTTTGACGTGGAATTTCTATCTGATGTGGACTGCGTATGTTGCACGTCACAGCTTGCGCATGCTGCTTTCATGGCATAGGCTTCTACACTTTGCGACGCCTCTTCCGTGGCACGCCACGCTGGGTGTTATCGCGGCACTCTGCACAGATCCAATGAGCCAAAACGTCGACACGGTAGCCACTTTTTTGTGGCCGTGGCCGACCGCACTGGTCGCACGGGGGATAGTTTCGCAGCGATTGGCACTCGCTACACATCCAAGTTGGTAAATCTTTAACATGGTAGCCGCTTTTTTTGTGGTCGTGGCTGACCACAAGCATCACACGGCGGATAGCTGCATTGCATACACAAGGTGTCTGCCATGGCCTGGGACTCTAGCGGCTGACCGCACTGGCTGCAAGGCTTCACTTTGCACTCTGCGCAGCTCCAAGAAGGTAAAACCTTGACATGGTACCCACTTTTTTGAGGCCGTGGATGACCACAGGATTCACACGGCGGATAGCTGCATTGCCTACACAAGGTCTCTGCTATGGCCTGGGACTCTAGCGGCTGACCGCACTTGCTGCATGGTTTCACTTTGCACTCGGCGCAAGTCCAAGTTGGTAAAACTTTGACGTGATAGCTTCTGTCATCGGGTCGTGGACGACCACACACTGGACAAGGGGGGATACGCACATGCGGCACACCATGTCCCAGCTGTTGCAGTGGAAGGCAAGGGTTTGGCACAGTTACCACAGAGTTTAGGCTTAGCGACACACGCTTTGCATGTTCCTGTGTTGTTGTCGGCGGTGTAGTTAGAAAGGTTGGGAACGGCGACCACTTTCTCACACCGAACACAGCGGCCTTGCTTGCCTTGGCATTCTGGACAGTGCCAAATAGGATTTTTCTTGGCGTGGAGTCGCCTTTTGCCTACTTGAGGGCGTGGTTTTCCACATCCGCCCGTGCAAGGAGGGTATGCACAGGGTTTGCACCACGTACCTGGAGTTTGACTTGCCTTCAATGGCTGGCCACAGTTTGCGCAGGTCTTGGACGCCCGCGCTTGGTTGGCGACACAAGCGCGCTTGCTTGCCTTGGCATTCTGGACAAGGTGTCGGGTACAGGGTCACAGACTTTTGACACAAAACCAGCGCTGTCAGTTCTCTCCTGTCTCTCTTAAGCGAGCCATGCAGTCAGTGCAGTTCAGTCTCTCTTAAGCGAGCCACGCAGTCTGTGCAGTTCAGTCTCTCGTAAGCGAGCCACGGTGAGTCGCTCACAGTCAACTCTCTCTCGTCACTCTCTGGCAGTCACTTCAGTCTAGTCTGTTTTCAGCGAGTCTGACAAACACAGATATTCGGTGGGTAGTATTTTGTAGTAAAACTCTGTCGTGGATGATCTTTTTGGGTTCGGTTGGTGGGTTTTTAGAGGAAAATAAAACTATGTCAAAGGTAATTTTTGGAAGAAAATGAAACTATCTAATAGATGCTTCTTGACTGAGAAGTTAACATGGTCGAAGATGTTTGACTCCCGCTGGGCCCCTAAACACCGTACCAAACGACCACGGCTTCTCACAGAATGAAACCGCTTGCTCGCCGTAGCTGGGAGGGAAGACCGACGCGCTCTCTGCTTTTGTTGGCTCCGGGTGGTGGACGACGCTACCTCTTCCGAGGACGAGGGGATCGTGCGAGGAATATAGCCCTATCTAAAATTATTCGTCGACGTTGCTGTAGGTGTGGAGAGACGTTGAAAGAGACAGAGCAGAAGAAAGCATAACGCTGTGCCTGGCTGTGGCTGTGTTCGACGGCTCACCCGACCTTCGGTGCACTTACTGTGCACCCGGGCGGTCAGCCCCCTTCTTGCGAAGGACGCTGCCGGGACGCCCGAAGTCCCGGCCCCCGTCCTGCGCGAGGGTGGGGGAGCGATGCTCCCCCACAACCTTTTAGCCGACACAGAGGCAGAGACAGAGACAACTACCGACTAATACCGCGACGGAGACAGGGACGGAGACCGAGGCAAATAGTGAAGGAAAAGGGAGAGACAGAGAGAGAGAAAGAGAGAGAGAGAGTGGAAAAGTATGTTACGCAATTTATGTTCACATACATCCTCCGCGACAACTTTTTTCGCTTCTGCCTTCCCGCTTAGCGTCACCGTTGCACACAAACCCTCACCCTGCTTGGCCGGCGCCCGGCTGTCAGGCGTAAGCCTCTTAAATCCGGGCGCCGGCCACGGGCCCGTGTCCTTGCCGGAGGCCTTCGGTGGTAACCGAAGGTTATATACGCTCGCCGCCCCTGCCGCCGACCCTTTTGTTGGACCGCGTGTATACCCCCGCCCGAAGCGTGTCGACAGATTTTTGACGGATTTTTATGTTATTTATATTTTATCTACCAGCATGATTGCGCATGATGTGGAAAACATCGTTTTTTACAGTGTTTCGTGGCCTTCGGCGGACATGACTTGCGTCTAACAGGGCACTGGTGGTGTCGGTTATGCGTGCCGCGCGGACAGGCTTAATCGACATTTCGTGGGTGTTGGGCACAGAAGTTGCCTAACATTTCCCCAACATAGGCCCAAGATAGCCAACATATGCCCAACATAGCCTCCAAGATGGCTCAACATAGGGCCGACATATGCCAACATGGGGCCAACATACGCCAACATAGGCCCAACATAGGCCCAACCTAGGCCAACATAGGCCTAACATAGGCCGACCTAGGCCCAACATAGGCTCAACTTGGGCCCAAGATGTGCCTAACATAGACCACATGGGCTCAACTTGGCCCAACCTAGGGCCAAGAGCGAAACCGTTGAACACAAACCCTCACCCTGCTTGGCCGGCGCCCGGCTGTCAGGCGTAAGCCTCATAAATTATATAGTAACAAGCAAGCAAGTAAATTAGTCGTAGTAGTGGTTGTTGTTGGCGTCTGATTTTAAAAACACTCCTGCACATTGAAGGCTTGGGTCTGCCGGATCGGCGGCGTCCTGTCCGACAGGTTCCCGAGTTCTTCGCCAGTCGCAGCGAGTCTGGAAACCGGCCGGGCACGACACCGAGCCCATCCAGAGTCACACGTAGCAACCGCCAAATACAAAATGGAGTCCTTAAAAATAGAGAACAGTCATATGAACAGCGGTAGCTATATAGTTGTTACTAAACTCAAACATGTTATGTGGGTGCCCTATCTCGTTTAGACTACTGTAGGAGGTCATGTCACAGTATCTCGTTCACCCCCAACGAATCCAACGGGTTTGGTCTAGTTACGTTTTCTTCTTCCAGGCTTGTTGGGAGCTCTCCCTTTTCTATTGCACACCCATATTATTGGTCCACCTAAACTTTAAACCAATTCATGCACGGCAGACTTCCACAAAAAAACCTTCTGCAAAAAGTCGATTTCCTTGACCCTGCGAATAGGCCAGGGTGCCACCGGAAAGACACTAGTTCATCCGAACAGAAAGGTGGCAGCCTGGGGAACAGCCTGCATGTGATCTTTGAAGTTGCTGTGCAAGCAGCTGCTTCTTTTCAAAACAACAAATTACAATTCTTTATCATCAGAATGACCTCCTGCAGCACTCCAGCTTCCGATCCAAACTCATCCAAACTCCACCCGACACCTCCCGGTCACCCCGCTCGAACACCTTCTGGGTGTGCCCAGCGCAATCCGACAAGAAGAGTGAAGGCCACAGCTCACCTTTCAGCCTCGAACAACGCCCGACCCGATGAAAGCTGCCTTTTAGCGGCGAAGTCATGGCTGTCATGGCTCCTGGGTTGGCAGTTAGCAAGTTAGCAGGATGTAATTATGACCTGCAGGTGAACCAACCACTCCTCTTTGCACATGATGCAAACAAGGGGAGACTTGAGACAGCACATGTGTCCCTGACAGAAACAAAGAAAACCAATAAATATCGAGTGAATAACACACTAGCACGTCGCTCCGGGCTCTCTCACCCACGTGGCATGGGCGCCGGCACCGGGGCGCCGTTGTGCCATGCCGTGACCTCGGTGGCATGGGAGGGCGTGGGGCAGAGGTTGAAGAAGCCGCCAGTCCTTTTCATATTCTGACACTTTATAATGGGACCGGACGATTTACCAATCCATTCTACCAGCTCTCCGAAGTGACCCGTGACAAACAAATCTCCGGTGTGAGTCATTTTGACTCCCTCACCAAACCATGGCAGGTTGACACCCCTTTTTTGGGACTTATATATAGAAGGAATCGGTTCCTGAAAGACCAGGGAGTCGGTCAGGGTGCCCCAGGTGTTGATCTGCTGTTGGAGGGGTCGGTCTCAGGTCTCTTCTTTGGGATCTGCGACCCTTCCATCCCACTGTGTGACGTCTTGGGGCCTCCCACCGACACAGGGAAGGTCGCCTGGTTGCAAGCAATGCCAATGACCTCTGGCGAAATCGGGGTAGGAATTGGCCCAGACCCACCCAGGGGTAGCAATGCTCCGAATTGGTTTATGGGCAAATTTACAGGAAAGCCATAGTTTTCGAGGTGAAAAGAGATGTTTTCCTGTTCCCTTCAACCAATCCCATGGACTGGCAGCCACAGGAGTCACAGGGGTGATAGATTTGGGGATGAGATCCGGTTGGTGAGGGCTGTTGATCATCAAGTTCCAAGTATATAATAGGACAAGTGACTGGAATGACCTGACTAAACGTGCACTGGTTGAGAGACCTGAGACCTTCCGGACCCCAATAGGGATGGACTATACGGCTGTTCAACCCGGAGAATCCGGCGAATTCATCACCTCCTTGGACACCTCCATCACCTCCACAAGTGGACTGATGGGTCATGGACTGATTCGTCCTAGGTGGGTGACTCTTCCAGCGAAGCCTCCGCGACGCGTGTCCGTGGTGAACGGGGGAGGTCTCTGGAAGCGGTGCAGTCACGACGAGTCACGGACGGAACTTGGTGGTGCTGAGTGGTGGCCCTCTCTGCGAACCAAAACAAACAGGACACATGAAAAATCATGAGATTTGCACATAGATCCTGGAGGCAGGTGGTAAGTTACAAATACGTCCTACAGTATGCAAGCAGTTTGATTGATGACCCCAGCAAATGTACCAGAGTCAGATCTGAACTGGGGAGCAAGACCAACTCCCCAACTGGAGAACCCAACGATTCAACGTGGCCAAAACACTTGTTATATTCCACAAGTCTTCCACTATAACAAGTCCACTTGTGTTCCACAAGTGTCCCATAGGGATAGCACTTGTTCACCATGTTCCACCCCCCCCTCCAGTCCGACTTCCCTGTCACCGTCCTCTCCGGCTCCGCCCCGAGCGGCGTCGCCCACGTTCAGCGGCTCACCGGCTCCAAACCTCGGGGCTTTGGACGACATGATTGGGACATCAGTTGGGTGGCCAATTTGGGTGCAAACTCTGGAGCTTTTTAGCTTACTTGGTCCGGAGCACTCCCACAAGTTTGGTCCCAACTGAAGCACCCAAGCCGCAAGCCCAGGGTGCGGTGCGACCGATGAGAATCGATTGAAATGGCCACCTGTGGGGTATCTGAAGCAAAACCAACACAATTCTTTATACCAGCACTCCTCCCACAGGTCTCCGAAATGTAGGGTTATGTTGTTAGGCCATGTTAGGCCCTAACACGCCTAACAGGTCTCAATTCATGACCTGTTGGAGGGTGGTGTACATGCCCTTCCCCAGCCGCCCGACTGGACACCCGGACTGGATTCCAAAGCTTCGAGCAGTCGCACCTAACCTCAGCCAGTTGTACTTTTGGTGTATATAATATAGACGACACATGTACGCATCCGATGGGATCTCTAGACGAGATAGAAAGTCACAGTACGCAAGTCGTTTTCACTCCTTTCTTCCACATCTGCTGAATATCGAGGAGGAAAGAGAGCAGGAGCCATATAGAGAGAGCCATATACATCTGGCTCTCAATAAGTCGTATATATAGCCAGCCAGCCATCAATAAGTCAATAAGTCGTATAGGTATAGAGAGCCATCAGGAGCCATGCGCCCGATTGAGTCAACCGAGGTTTGCTCAGCTGCGCACCGCTGAGTCAGATGCTCCTCGGGTCCTCGGGTCGTCGTCCACCGTATTGAACCAGGCATTCCCTGTAATGATCTTTACACAAAAGACGGTTTTAAAGTGTTTTGTTTAACCAATCAAACATGCAGAGCAATATCATGCAATCTCCAACCCAGAGACCAAACTCCTGGCGCATGCCACTGTCATTCGTCGAACGATCCGCCTCGTCTTCCGACGACCGGAACTCGAAGGCGGTCACCGTCCAGCCGATTCCCAGGGTTCAGTCTTGGCTTCTGACGACCGAGCCGTTTCAGACAACCGGTTACAGTAACGCTTCACCTATGGAACTGCCTGTTCTATCTTAAGTGGGGAACCGCCTGTTCCCAAAAAGAACAATCCCAAAAACAGGTTAGAGGATAGCTTACAGACTTTGTAGGGTTCACATCAATTGGCTTGCTTTGGGTGTGCCATCCCTACTTTGCTTTAGGCTCGGACTTATTGGTAATGGCAATTGGATCCACGCGAAATTCATGAGGAAAAGGACACACAAAAGGCGCGGATTATTATACTGTATAGGTAGCTAGGAGTGTTCAGCTTCTGCAAGAGGAGTGGTTATCAGCGAAAGGGCATTTTATAAACAAAATGCTGGACAACATCAATGTTGGGGTGAAAGAAATCAAGTGCTCCGTGTGGTGTGTGATGTCAGAAGAACATGGTTGCTTGGGTGAAGAAACTAATAAGCACACACTTATGGCAATGAAGGCCTGTATTGAGTCTTGACAGGACCCCGGGAAAAATGGGGCTTTGACTACTGTAAACACTTTGGTGCTCTGGCCAAGGCTTGTTGATGGTTGGTTGACCACGAGCAGCAAATCAAGTAGCACAAGTGGCTTGCTCAACAATACCCATAGGTCTAACATCCTCTGGATCAAATGGGTGTTGAGATGTTGTAAACTTCAAACTGAACCCTCCATACAGTATTAATATGTATTCATGCATCGGGCATTAACCACGCCCACTAGCATGAGGCAAACAGCGGGATGTAGTCCACAAACAAATGCTTAGTAGCTAAGGGTATAGCACACCCAAGACATCACCTACGGACCTACTGGGTATGCCCTCGCCCTCAACTTCTGACCCCAATGTCCTTGTGCTGCCACGCCCACCAGCAGCACACTGCTGAGCGGCGGCCCGACCTGTGGCCAGGACGACATGTGCAGATCGAGGACAACAACCAAGCGATCCAAAGGGAACGTCAAAGGGAACGTCGATGGACAAAATCCTACATCGACTGGCATCGACTAGAAATAACACATTGTTTGTCGAATTGATTAGTGGAACTAGTGTTAGAGCTGTTCAAAAAAATGATCCCTTCGATCGCTATAGAACACCATCTCAGGCTGTTGACGATGCAAATGACCCCGTCTTTGGCCCATTCCCGACGGCGATCGTTCCGACCATCGCACGATGGACCATGCACCAACGGCCTCGATGACATGCACTTCCCAATATGCACGATCCTCTGACGGAAAGCAACTGCGTCTGCGTCGCCATGGAGAGCAATAGTATATATTATATATATAGTATTGATAATATAACAACTAACTGTTCTTTGTCCTCCCTCAAGTTCAATAGTATTCAATAGTGTCCTTATAATGTCAGAATATTATATATATATTCCTACTCCAGACTCCAGATTAGCAGCATGCTACTCCACATAAGTAGCACACGCATCAATCGCGGACACATGTCCTCTCAAAATCTGACGAAGTAGCATAAAATCAAAATGCATCAAAGGCCAGCCTAAAATGCCCTTATTGCAAGAAAATGGATTGATTCTTCCGTGTGCAGACTCCTCCCTACGACTCAGAGGAACAAGATGGAGGCATGGCCCTGAGTATCGTAAACAGGTATCCCGTGCACCATGTGCAGCACATCAAGATCAAACGACTTCGATCAGCCGAACAAAAGCTTAAGTTGATTGAGATAAACAGTCCAGTATTTGCATGAGCAAATATGTCACCTTCTGCCTTCTGCTTCTTTGTTATCAATTATTGCTTCCACGTTGTAAACTTGGTTTGGTAGGTCGCAAAATCCTCTGGACAAATGCTAACTGGTGAAATCAGGGGCTGATAAATGGTGGAAGGGTGCTTTGGAAGGATGCTCACTCTTCTTGGGTGAAGCGAGACATTCGTTGATGTCATCAGTCATGGAATCTTGAAGTCAAGTTCATGGTGGACCGTTTCTCTCCACTCCACCACCAGTGTTAACCTGAGACTTGGTGCAGTGGCCGATGGTGGCTTTTACTGCAAGGATCATCTTCCACATAGTGTGGGCTATTGTGAGTTGCACTTTGATTTATATATCATTGTGATTCATCATTGTTTGGATCTCTTTCTGTCTTTGTTGTGTGTTTCTTTGTTGCTTTCTTGCTTTCTGTCTTTCTTTCTTTCTCCCTGCTCATCCAGCGATCCATCGATCCAAGTCCCATCTATCGATAAGTAGGCGATACGTAGGGGATCGTGATCCCAGTCACAACATCTGCAAGAACAAGCAATTCTGCCTGTACCCTGACAAAAATGTTCACTTGGTTCCTTGAAACGACTCATTTCACTTCGGTAAAGTAAACCCAAGTTGCTGATGACCGGAGTCTCGTACCATCTATGGTACCTAATCGCGTCTCAAGTCCCCAATTCATCCTGGTATCCGTCAAATGACGCCTCTCAGGTGGCCGGTAGTGCACAAATGACTGTGGAATCCTGATGTAAACCGGAAGAGCCTCACCCTCAAGGCTAGGGCAGATGACGAATAAACGTTGGATCTCTGGATTTCTCAGCTTTCACTGCCCCTTTACGCCCTGTCCTGCACCAATGGGACACCGGCTAGGCACCGCCCTGGGCCTAGCGCTTTTTGAAAGCGTGAGTGGAGAGAGTCCGGGCGATGGGCTGAAAAAAAAACCGGGGAAGGGTGAGTGGTCTGGTTTCGTGGAGTTAAACTTATATACATTTCGTCATCCCGAAAGCGGTAGGCCATCCCTGTCACCATGATTTCAGGGCGGAAATCCGTCAGCTTGCGTGTCAAGGCTGACGAAGCAGCAGAACGCGGCTCGTGCGTGGAGTATGAACCATGAGAAGGGTTCGTTTGAGATACGAATAGCTTTATCCGAATTATTCAAATCGGTCTGCAAGATTGTCAATGAGGTCAAGTGCTCTGGAAAAGATTACGCTCAGACCATTCCACAAAACAAATGCTACCTATATACTATTATCAACACGTTAAGAATGTCAAAATCATCAAACCTCAAACCAGCGCACAGACTCATCGGCGAGGGCTTTGGAAGGGCCTTCTCAACTCCGCGCTCGGGACGGGACGAGGATCAACAGAACACGCCAAGCAATCTGCCAAGAAAATCCCAGAAGCCTGAAATACCTCCACTAAAGACTCCTCCAAAAAAGTAGATGCTTTCTCCAAGTAGAGAAAGGCCCACGGTGGGTCCTCTGGTACAAATAACCACCCAAATGGACCACCCAGGTCGTGGATCGAGGTGAGGGAAGGACTGCCACCCTGACATAAGAATGTGTGCAAGACATCAAAGCCAAACTTTGATATCATATGATATCATAAACCGCAGGCAAACTTGTATTGCTACTAAACAGTTCTTCAATAATTGTCACATGTGTGGCTGAAGTGAATCCTTACTCACCTCGCTGGCATCCAGCGGCTCTGTGGCCCCTCACAGCTACACAAAGCATGTGATCCTCTTGACAAAAAAAACAGCAGTCGTGTCCATACTGTATGTTTTCACGCACAAACCCAAGGCGGTTCAACAGGCTTGCACATGAACACGCACACACAAGACACATGCAAACATCCTGGCCAATCATCATGAGGTCTCGTTGCTCAACTCCTGTGGGTCAGGAAGCAAATGAACAAGAAAAGACCAGGCTTTTGAACACCTGCAAACTTCTGATGCAGGCCACATCTATTCGATCTATTCGTACAGTTCCACACAAGCACAAGATGAAAACCATGGAAAGCCTAGATACAGTGCTTGGAGAATCACAACATTGCTGATGCTTAGCTGTGCGACACCTCAAGGCACCTAGTGGAACACATGGAGCAAGGGAGACCCTGTGGGGCTCAGACTCCACAGTTTCCACATGCACAGAAGCAAACTGACAGCACAAGTTGAAACATCTTGCTTTGGGATGGGCACGAAAGGTAACATGTTGTCAGTGCACTTGGACTGCTCTCGTTGTGCCACGAAGTGGCACAGCCTGACTCGTATTTGTGGATGCAAACTCATGCAAAAACTGCAAGGAACAAGCCTTGGGACAAGCAGTCCTGTTAGCCTTTGGATCACCGCTGACGGTGTCACGGCTATTTCTCATTCGATCTGACCTTTTCAGAGCTCGATGACGGTGTCTGCGCACATTCGGTCTCTCCGTGTCTCGTGAACCCAAATTGGAAGACTTCTGGCTTTGCCCTGAAATTGCTCAGCATTGAGATAAAGAAACACATGCGTGGAAATCTGATGATTCCATATCCTCATGTATTGAATGAACGGAGAAACTAAGAAGTGCTGCATAACGTGTTTTCCATGTGTGTCTGTTTAACTGTTTACATTCCTCGACGTCGATTGTTCCATTGCTCGACGTCTGCCGCAGCCATTGGCCGCCTCTTCAAAAAATCCGTCTGAAACGGTGTCTGCGGAATGGAACGACAGCAAAGCACAAAGCAGGACACACAGTGACACAGAGTGACACAAGCACATAGCAAACAGTCACAGCGTGACACAGCTGGTCCACACAGCTGGTCCACACAGCTGGTCCACAGCGCTAGCAGGTGCATGGAGCTGGCTGTGTCACACCGCCGCTGTGGCTCGTTGTTTCCTGAATGTATCCGGTGGAATGGAGGTCAGAACGGAGCATGAATGAAATGACCCCTGCACACCTTCGAAAACACTTGTCAAAGCTGTGTATGTACCACAACAAATAACATATGTAAATAAACAAAGATAATATATATATATATGTGTGTTTTTAAAATATCCAGGAGCTTCACGGTGTTTTCGAGGGTGTTACAGTATCAATCATAAGCCCATGCCTCCTCGCCGATCCCTCCCGGATCGTTGCTGTTTGTTCTTCTGTGCCTCCACGTATTCGGAGGCCTGCAATCTTCAACCTAAGAACGCCGAAGCATCGCCGGAGGCCACGTGGCGACCACCCGTGCCACGGGACGCAGAAGAAAGCCACATTCCGCTGGAAAAGAAGTGAACACCCCTGGGTCCTGGGTGCCTGAATTCTGAGAAAACTGAAGATATACAAACCCAGCTGCTGATATATGATCTATTGCAGTAAAAATTGAAATAACAACTGTTTAAATCAAATAACTCAATATCATGCATGCATTGCTGATCATCTTATGCTGAAACGCTGGGCGCGAGGATCACCCCATCTCTGTTCACTGATTTCAGTTTGAAAATCAGAATCCTTCAGTCTCCACGGAACAAGAAACTGACCAACAGGTCGCTTGGCTTGGGGGAAAGTGCGTCTCGCAACGTGTCTGTGGATCTTTGCAACTCCCCAGCTCGGCACGGGAAAAAGGTCGGAATCCGTCGCTGGGACCTGGTCTTTCCTCTTCCCTGGCTCGTCTCTGGGTCTTCTCTTCATTTTACATGCCTCATGGGATCATGTCGTCACCGGGTCCCCCCAGCTCGGGCGCATGGCTTCCGAGGCCGACCGTTCCAGGCCTCCGCGTTGCTTTCTTTCGAGGACCCACCCAGACGCTCCGTGAACGACGCCCTTGGATCCCAAGACCACCATAGGGTTTGGTGAGGGTCCGGAACCCTCCAGAGGATTCTCCCTCCATACGGAGGGTCTAGGAGGGTCTGGGCAGGTGAATTGTCGATCTTTTGGGTACACCCGGTTCTGGTTCTGCCAGTTCTGCGGTTTCAGTCTTTCAGTGTTCTTTCTCTCCAAAAAAAACACAGCTGTACTCACAGCTGTATATAGTGCTATAGTAGCTAGGATTTGCTGGGCATGACAAAGCGCCTAAACTTCGGAAGTAGCTTCCTGATTTGCTTGTACATGAAGATATCATTATAGCTCCCAATCGACGGTGTTTCATGGGTGACTACCGAAACCAATTCTGACCTAGCTAGCTGTCAAAGAAAAAACTAAAAACAGCATCCCGAGCTCGAGTCCATCTCATGCGTTCTTCAAAGGAGTGTTCCAGGCTACCTTGTCTCCGGTCTCCCACGCTACTTCGCACAATCCCAGGCTACTCCTCCTTCCACATCCAGGCCGCATGGCACCTGACCCGCCCTGAACTCCGTTCGCCTCAAGGGCGCGGAGGCCGCGGAGGTCTGTGGCACCTGGTTCGGTGCTTGGCTGCGAGTGATGCTAAGTGACATGGTCCAGTTATCGTAGAACATCTGGCCATCAACTGGGTGACTGGCCGAATGTTCGATAAGATGCTTTAAATGCTTCGCCCGTATGTGACATGAACACGCGGAGCCCGCGTTTGGCTACGCCCTGAATCGCCTTCGCCGTTGCCTTCGGCCTGAGGTGCTTGAAGGATCGATTTCAGAAATCCTTTTTCGGGGTACCTCATTGTTTGGAGAACTCCTTTTGAGGTTGATTTGAGCCTGGGGAATCCCCCAGTAGAGATGGTGTTTTTGTAGCTTAAACATGGGGCTCTCATTTGGTCGTTAGAATTCTTCGGAACATGGGTGGGTGTTTATGAAACGACTGGCTTTTTTTCAACTTTGTCGTAGCTGTACTGAACGAACATGATGGGCTCTGAGTTTGAATTGATGTTAAACAAAAAAAATACACAAACATGTTGGAGTTCCTAGGGCCACTTCATAGAAACAAACAAGTCAAGATGACATGTCGTGCTTTGGCTTGGCGACTTTGGATCCCAATGGATCCCACAATTTCATATACCATATATATATATAGAGTATCAGTATTACTAAGTGACACTGGACGAGATGTTGTAAACACTATAACTGGAGAGCAGCTATATATATATAAATACCATTAACGGAAGGACTCTGAAGGACCATAGAGCATCATAGAGCCGTGTGAGGGACACACAGTGAGATCAAGATAAGAAGGGACCGAGATCCGAGGAGATCCGAGGAGGTGTTTACGTGGCCCGGGCCCAAGCTGGGCTTGCTTCCCAAGCTCTTGGGCTTCGTTTGGCATGGTTCAAAACCCAAATGGGTGGGGATTTGGGCGCCTGCGGGCGCCTGGATGTCTTCAGTGCTTTTTCCAGAGCACGAAACCCTTCTGGGCCCGAACCTTCGACTTCAGTCCTGGGGAGCCCTACCTTTCAATCACCACCCCTTTTTGGAATCCTTTGGAAGTTGAATGGGTCGTGTCCTTTTTCTCAAGTTTGGGGTAAGTTCTCAAGCTACTTTTTGCGAGCCACGGCCAGGACTTGCTGGGCAAAGATGGCCTACTCTCTTACTTGAAAAGTGTTCCATGCGATTAGGGATGTTAGGAAGATGTGATAAATCGATTCAATTTTCCACAAACAGGTTTTACCGCCACACCTGGTGTCCATGACAAAAAAAGTCAGCATGTCGGTGTTGGGGGACTGCCGAGAGTTGCCTTGAAATCTCTCCAAAGAGCTTGGGAAGCAGCGACCCAAGGTCTTTGATGATTTCTCTAGCTGCTCGGGGTTGTAAAAAGGTTGGGTTCGGAGAGCCCTAACAGGGGGAGCTGCTGATTCTGGACCTGTTCCCTGCTTTCGGAGTCCTGGTCTCTGCTTCCTCTCTCGCCAAGCGACTCAGACTCATCTCGCACTGCTGGCGCCTGGTGAAGAACCAGGGATTCGTTCGGTCTATGGTTTTAGTCTTTGGAACCAACTGGTTACCAGCGAACTAGTGGTTTGCCTGGATGCCCGTGTCATGGTGTGAAGAGCTCCAGCCGATCAGCTTCGTCAGCTCTTCCTCTGCTCTTCTGCGGCTGTGGATCGGATGTCTCAAGAAAAACGGTGGACCAATATGTTCAACCTCCCACCCTCCATGTTTTTTTCAAGGTTTTACATGGTTTTACATGGCTTTACAATCCAAATCAGGAGAAGTTCTTAATCAACCCTCCACATGAGTGGCTATCCAATCGATCCAACGGATCCGTCTTGATCCGCCCCCCAACCTCTTCGTCTGGGTGGGCACTGGATCCTCAAGCGATCGGATCTCGGCGGACGCGAGGAGCTTTGAGTTCCAAAACGGTCCGTTCTCGTCAATCCTACTAGCAATGGCCTCCATCCTAAGAGCGATGGCCTCCAACCTAAGAGCGATGGC